TTGCTACACGTAGTATGTGTTTTTGCCCAATTTTTAAAATAGTTTTCTTGTGTACGTTTTGAAACAACTAAATATACTTATACTTCTATTAGGTTTTTATTTGCTTCATGCTACTGGAATAAATTATCAAGTTGTTTTTTTTTTTATTTGAGAAGTAATGGTTGTTTTTAGTTTCTCTTTTAAAACCAAAATCGTCAATATAATTAATGTATTGATTTTCAATATCATCAGGGAAAATATATCTGATCTTTGTAGGGAGAAAAAGTGATGAGCAAACGCAAGGCCCAAACAAGACTAATATAGTCTTAATCTTTTGTTTTTGTTTTCGTAACCTCGCAGTTTCAAATCCATGTTTTCCTTTTAAAGTTCTGAGAAAGTCTCAAAATGAACATAAAATTATTTTCTCTTTTGTTTTTAATCGATCAAATTGGTTAATTTTGGAAAACCCTGCGCATTTCTTAATAAAGTTAAACATGATAAATGTAATGTTTACTTATCTACATTAGATTTTCATTGAATTATTTCATTTTAATTTGTAACTGCATTGGAATTTAAATAAAAATTTTATGAGATCTTTCTAATAAGTCTTGCTCTGGGTCTACTTATTGTTTATTTATTCTTGACGATGGTCTTGCGTGCGAGACCAAGGAAGTTTCCTTAAAGGAACTATAACTGCAGACGCGTATTTACCAAATTATCTAAATTTTTCAAGAAGATGTCAAAATACAGAATTGGTGGATTTATGCCATAATAAAGAAAACCTTTCAAAATATTCATTCTTTAGTATAATAATTTGGTTAGCATGTTTTGGATGTACTATCAAAAATATGTTACAAACAAAAGGCTGGTTGTTGTCGTCATAACCGTTTACTGCATAATTACCTTGAAAAAGCCCAAAACGGTTGAGCGAATGTTAAAAATAATTTCATCTAAAAGTTCTGATCTTTCAATTAAAAAGTATCGAAAAATCCTGGAAAAATAATGGACAATTGCAACCATACTATCTGATGCTTTAATTTTGTTGCAAGAAATGTAGTAATGGTGACATTTCGGAGATAATTTGTGCATTTTCTGTTCTTAATTTTAACAATAATAATTTTTTAATACCCATTATCAACCTAAGAAGTTTACTATGAAAGTCGGTCGAAGTGTATAAATTTCACTGATAAACCAGTGGATTGAAATGCCACTGTTTCACTCAGTGATTATTCACTGATTACCACTGGTATACTTTGCACTATATCAATCAGTGAATAGTCACTGATGATCAGTGCATACTCACTGATTTTTTTAAGAGAGTACAATTTTTAGTGGTAGGTACTTATACTTTTTGTAATTTTTGAGATCTACCACTTGTAACATCACATTTACCCTTTTACCCATTGAAGTGGCCGATTTTGTGATAATCCAATTACCAAAGTGCTTAACTGAATATTGCAGGTTCGCTCAATTGCAGCAGGTACTTATATAGATAATCATAAAGCAAGGAATTCTGTTTGTAATGACAAAGTAAACAATGACGGGTGGTGTGGGTTCGGGTTTATTTGTGGATTAGTGCGTAACTCGGATCTTCACTCATTAGAGTACTGAGCATTCATTCACTGAATATGCGGAAACAATGTAAGCAACTCTCTGTACATGCATAAGTGCGTGAGATTGTTATGCGTTAATTCGGGTCTTATTTTTAGACAATGATTAAATGCTTAAGAATTAAAGTTAAATTTTCCGTGACGTGAAGTTGTACTCAACTGAATAATGACGTTCCATGTTTAACAACTCAGTACCGTAGGTATAAAAAGGCAAAAGGACAAACCGGGATGATGCATCAAGTGGGCTATTTTCGTGAAACAATATTTAAAAATTCGCTTACATGCAATGTAATCATAATATTTCACTTACGAATGACCTCACAAAGTAATGTGGGTAGTGCCAGAAGCGTGCTAAGAAATTCGTCTGGGCGCGTTTTTTTAATTTCTATTAATTTTATGGAAGGAGTCACAGAGAGATTAACAATGTTTCAGTATCAATCGAAAAAAAGCAGAACCATAAGTGAGAAAATACGCAATAATAAAGCAGAAGAACATTATTTATCAGGATGGTTCTATAAATTGATTTGCAAAACCTCTTGGCAATTTCCCGTTTTTTACTATGTTAATCAAAGATGTGATTTATTTGAAATACTTGCATTTAAAATGCAAATACAAAATCAAAAATATCAATTTTTTTGAGAAAAGCATTTTGTATTTTATTTAAAATATTTTTCCAAGCTTATTTTCATTCCAAGAATGTCTTCTAATTTAATTTAATTCTTTAATATAAGTCTAAAAAATTCATGGAAATGGATAATCTAAAATATTGAATCGATATTGTTTTCCGAGTTCAGTGTCATGGTTCATGGAATTTTGAAGTTCCAAATTGATATCAGCACCTGCCAAATCATTACTTATCGTACCTCTAGCAAGGAACTACGAAATCTTATGAATTACTACAAAACAGTCCACATAACAATATCGAATTGATATACGCCAGCTGTGTACAACTGAAAGTAAAAATTCTGGAAAAATAAGTGTAATTTCTATTAGGTGAATATATTACCTTACCTGTATAACAGTTAGCACTAAACCTTAGTTCATACATTTATAAGCTTTGTCTTTTTACTTGTATTAAAAATTGTTTGGTAATTATTTATGTCACTGAAGAATCTATTTATTTTATTAAAAACATACGTATTAATCAAAAAGATCGACCAGTTACACCCCCAGCTCCACCCTTAATTACATTTGCGACGCTGTTGAGCACCGCGTACTTGTACGTATTTCTTGATTTCACCTTACGATGTCGTTGACATTATTTGTTATCTTTTCTTCAATATTGGTATTATTCCAAGTTTAATAGTTATTATTTTTTGAAGAGATGCGAGACATGTGCAAGTGCAGTTCTGGGAATATTTCACGTGGCACTTGAATGTGTCTGATTATCTTTAGCCACTGAAATAATAAAAATGTCTCTAAATAAATCACCCAAAGTATTTTGAAAGTATTTGCGGAGTGGATAAACATCCCGCACAAAGTCAATGTTATTGGTGCCTTCGAACGATTTTCATTTAAGAAGATTAACGATTGTAGGTATAGAAGCTCTAAACTAAATTACATATTTTGCTGTAGATATTAGACCATCATTAATCATTACAGTATTTGTTAATTCTTGAAATAAACTTCAGGATATTATTTGCTAACGATATGCGAGACTCAATGATTTTCCTTAAAACATCTCTGTTTGTCAGTCAAGTGGAATATGAATAGTGCAACAATAAACTAATATTTCGATATTTTTTAGTTTTCGGTACACATGGATACATGTTGGTACCTTTAGTTTGATACTATTCAGAACTAAACATACGCAATATTCTCGAAAAGCTCTCCCGTATGAGCTTGAATTTTTCCCCAAAAATTTCACAAAAATACAAGTATCCTTTTGGAGCCAATCATTCCGCACTCTTTTTTAACGAATAATGAACCTCCGACATATGCAAACGCTACTTCCTAAATGTTTTTAAGTGTATAGACCTAGGTATAGTTTCTCCATCATCTTGTACGAAATTTTAAAATTTAAGTATGCTAGATTATGAAATTTACTTTAACAATTCACAATCTTATAAACGATAAAATGCACCACTAGATAATCATGGTGATACAGGAAAATCAAAGCCAGATTTTCCACACAAACAAGTTTCCAAGTTAGAGATTCAAGATAGTCTAGGTTTTTAGGTTTCTAATTTCTAAACGTGTTTAGGGTGGACTTTCGTTTTTGATTTATTGTGAAACAAGATAAAATGCTCAATTACAATAAATAAAACACTTAAATCCTTGCAAAACGTTTAGTAATCTTATATGTTAAGTGTTATCCTCAGTTAGAGAAGAACTTGAAATTTAGGATTTTAGTATTTTATCTAATTTAGTTTCGATGGCTCGGGTTCGATTCCTGGTCAAAGCAAATCCTTTGGTCACTTTTTTAATTGCTGTCACAGAAACATACATAAATGATTTTTTTTATGCAAATAGCATACGTTTCGAACAATCTAAATTTCATTCGCTTCTGTTTATAATACTGAAGAAGTTTTGAACTAGACGACGTTCACGTATTAATATGTATATCAAACATTTACTCTCTTCGAAAATATATGTTTTTAAAAATTAGGCACAAAAAATAAGTAGGTATTGCTCCTTCCGTGTGTTTTGAAAGGTAACCAGATTTGTTAACATTCTTTTATTTCCATTCTAAATTCATTGCTAAATTTAAACGATTTTCCTGTTTGTATAGGTGCTGTGGGTGGATTTCTGTTTGTGTCACTGTTAAGTTTCATCAACTCGTGATCGATAAAATATGCACCTTATTCTATTTTTCGATTCGTATAATCTTATTTATTCGTATTTTAATGTGTTTTCGTGTTTTTATAACAACGTATGTGGTAGATTTTCATAATTTTGATTTGTCGTTCAGTTCAGTTTTGTTTTGTCAGCTGGAGTGAGAAAGATCGGGAAATTACTTTCTTTTAATCCGATATTGGAAAACTTTCATTTGAAATAATTCATCAACGAATAATAATAATAATAACACTTTCATTTCAAAGAGTACCCCACTGCTCGAAATAATTTTGAAAATAAGGAAATTGTATTTTTAGAAGAATCAGTTCATCGTTTCGCCTTAATTTCAATAAATCAATAGGAAGTTTATTATTAGTTTTTATATTTAATTTTAGCGTTTTAGTGAAATGTTTTCTTTTCTCATAAGAAACAGTTCTCAAAATAAATTAAAAATAGAATAGAGGCAATCTGAAAAAATTAATAAGTTAGTTTAACTTCTTCCTTCAATTACACTGAAGAGCAAAAAATATAAAATCAAAAATATAAACGAATTAAAAAAAAAAATAAATAGATTAAGAAAATTTTACCACTTATTGTTAATAAAAAAAAGATTAACTTTATATTTTTTTGTTCCAGATTTACTGTATAAACAAACTTTATCAATAAACAACACATTAGTTGATGTTGAAATAGTGGACGTTTGTTGCACATCCAACAACATAGAGCAATTTCCAGAAGAACCCATTTACTGGGCTGATGCATGCGTTGTAGTATACGATGTTACATCAAAAAGTTCCCTAACGTACGCAATAGATCTCCTGAAAACAGTTCACAAATTGAGGAGTCAAAATCCAATGCCAACCGTCTTAATTGGAAACAAGGCCGATTTAGAACATCTTAGAGAGGTAAAAATTAATGCTTTTACAATTGTTTTGAGTTAATGAAATTTCAACCGATTCGTTTGTATCTGCATTCAATCAAAATTCAATTTTAATTATTACATCAACTTATGTGTATAGTTGTTTTAAATAGATATTTATTGAAAAAATAAAATAAAATTAAAAAACAATGTCTTTTTATTCAGGTGGAAGAAATAGAAGGAAGAACAGCCGCCATCCAGAATAATTGCAGTCAATTTTTAGAAGTATCAGTTGCAGAGAATAGCTTATCAATTTACAGCGTGTTTGATCTTCTTATCAACGAGTGCCGTTCAACAGTTAGTAGTACCCAAAAGACTAGAAAATTTTCTGTGTCTAAGATGATTGGTACGCTGATTGGAAATAGTAATGGAAAAATATCGAATTCGCCCAGTAATGGGGGCACGGTAGTAGTTTGTCACAAGTCCGATTTATACAAGTCTCGGTTCTTAAAGAGAAGACAGAACTGCACAAAAACGGGGTCTTTATGATTTTCAAAAGGATACGCATTCGATCTTATTTTCTCAGTTGTATGAGAAAATTTAATAATTCTGTATAAAATTTGTGTAATGTGTAAGCAGGTATCTTGCTAAACAATTACATTTACTTTATCAATTATTATATTATTAGGAGGTACGTCCAGTTTTAATTGTATTTATCCGGTTGAAAACATTTCTTTGTATTTTTAATCTAAGCATATCCTATTTCTGTCATTTAAAATGTTTTACCGCGTTTTAAATTATGAGATTAATTCTATAAGAAAAGAAAATTAAACCGTTAGCTCATTTAGGAATGATATGTAAAGCAGGGGTATATACATATGTAAATATGTATATGGGTATATACATATGTAAATATCTGAATTAAATATGTAAATTTGACAATATTTAGACAAAAGGTTATTATCGAATATGCTTCTTATCGTTGTTTCGGATTTGTATTAATTTCTTAGAAGTCTAAAAATGAAACAGAAGTGGCGACGATTAACATTTACAAAATTTTATTGTATGGGAAAATGATAACAGTATGCAAAAGTCAAGTTTAATGTTTCCAAAGAAGTTTTTTATTCTTATTTTATTGCAATAGTTAAACAATTATTTTGGTGATTGAACTTGGTCATTTTTCATACTGTTATGGACTTTAGACCTTAATAGTTAAATATTGTCACTTTTAATACTTTTTAGGCCTAGATATTATTATTTTTAATTATGAAGACACATAATCATCATCTCTCCTACATTGTATACCAATTACTAATTAAGAAAATGAACTGTGATACTCAACAAAAGATTTTTATACAAGGTGGAACTACCAGTGTTGACTGTAGTTTAATGTGTAGCTTTTAAATAAAATCATTTTTTACATTTTACTGCTTATTTCAACAGTTTTAAACTTTATTACAAAAAATAACAAGAGACTATAGTATATGTTCAAACAAAGCAGAAATTAAATAAAATATAAATTTATTATATTTAATTTATATAAGAAATTTACAATTCTTATTGATAGAACTAGTCACATTCAGAGGACATACTGAAGTAAACCTACAAATGCATTAAGCAGAACAAATACTAAAGCGATAGAATAAATTATTAAATTTATTATTACATTTTAGGTAGTGTTACAGTTCCTTGACAACAGTCTACAGTTATTTTTTTGCTGCCCCAAGTAGTGAAATACCTAAACTAACTACAGCTCCCAGTGCAACGATTGCACCTCCTGTGATTGCTATACCTTTTAATCCCTCCTGTGTCATTTTCTTTTCAATGACATTTTTTAAACCTATCACTTGAGAATTGTTTGGTTCAATATTAAGGAAGGCATTCAGGAAATTTAATGCTTGTCTATACTGTTTTAATCTAGCATTTCCAAGAGCTAGATAGAACAGATAATCCCTCTTTCCTTCTTCATGAGTTGTAAAAAGCTCTTGCAAAAGCACTAGACCTTTTTTAATATCTACAGGATATTTACTTCTGACTAAACACCAAGCATATTCGAATTGGGCTTTGGGTGTAACATCATTTTTGTATAGTTGCTGATGGTAGATATTTTCGAATTTCTAAAAAACCGTAACATAACAATGAGTCATTGTTTTTAGAAAATTTGTAAACAATATTGTTAAAAAATGACGTTTATAAGACTAATTGATTAACAAATTACCTGCAAATCTTCAGGTGAGACCACTTCATTTAATAAATCATTCATTGCGTATTTTAATGATAAAATTGTTTAGTTTAATCTTTTGCATACAATTGTTTAACCTACAATTTTGAGCTTTAGCACAAAAATATTACACCACTAAATGTCAGATTTCAGATATATTAAAATTAAAACCTATACATGTAGGAGGTGCCATCTATCCCAATCATTAAATGTTATACAGCAAAATGTTGAATGCAACTATCTGTAAAATGAACCTGAGACAATTTTTGAACTATTCTCCGTAAGAGGACGCCTAACGTACGAAATTACAAAAATGTCGCAAAATATGTATTACTGATTACAGAAAATAACAACGAAAAATCACCCTTTTAAAGTATTAACCACTAATAAAATCACCAAAAGTAGAACGCATTTGTCCTAGTTATTAAATTATATCTATTCGATGCACTTTCATATCATATCATTTGAAAATTTGTGAAAAACAACACGAAATTATTAATAATTTCCTTCAATTTCGTAAAAATACATTTTCGTCAAAACAAATGTCACTTTACGATATCTAAAGAAACCAAAATGTTTTTTACTTTTAAACCATAGCCATAAAACAATTCGTTAGTAATTTAGTACGTAAACAGTTAATAACTTATTATGTCCTAGCAAGGACGCCACAATTGGCTTCTCGACATTGGTAACGAATAAACCATAATTTTCATTTATTACTTTTAAGATATAAAATAGATTTTAAAAAATATCCTAATATATACAATACAGATATATGTAGGTATATATACTAGTAGAGATGTGCGAATTGGTTTTTTAAAAGTATTTAAATACAAAATGCAAATACTTTTTTGATTTGTTATTTCAAATGTAAAATACAAAATAGATTTCACTTTTGTGTTTTAAATGCTAAATGCAAAATACGTATTTTCAAAATACTTTTGTCAAATAAGTACTTTTTGTAGTAGGGGAGACCGGGGATGGTTGACTAGTTTTTTACTGAATAGTTCATATTTTTTGGGTTTTAATGATTATAAACCAGAAAAGCATGTTAATTGAAAGAAAATCTATTAACCCAATAAAAATATGTAATATTTAGTTCTTAGTTTAGTATAATAGTGATGACTTAATGCATTTTACAAAATATTAAATCTTAGTCAATCTACCCCTGGCCTGGGGTAGGTAGACCATATGCCCGGGGTAAGTTGACTCATGTACCAGTAAGAGTCAAATCATGAGAAGGAGCAAATAATTAAACCTTTTGTTTAAAAATAAACTGGCTAAAGTTTCCTCTTCTAGATTAGTAAAAATTTTTCCATTTTTTATAAATTCCACTGTGTCCAGGGTTAATTCTGCTCTCGTCAATTTCGGATTCTGTTCTAATTTTTCTTTTAATTTGGCCACGTAACAATTTAAAAGTCCAATAAAAAGTTAATTTATGTGTTGTTTTCAACTACATATTTCATTGGGGTTGGTTGAATAATTATTCAACCAGCCCCGAAAAAAATTGGTCTACCAACCCCAGACGCCATTTTTAANTTACGCTAAAGTGATTCTCCAGAGTTCAAGTTACTTATTATAAAAGTTTGCAATTTCTGGTAGCTTTTTTTCTGTTAATAAAAATAAATTTAATCTGTTCGGTTAACGAATCTCCATAAAATGACGTGTACAATTACAATTTTTTAAAATTTCAATAACTTTTTAACGGTTTAGTGAATCGATTTGTAATTTTTACAAGAGTTTTAGAATTGAATGAGAAACGTTCTTCCAAATTTTTATTTGTCTCGTAGCATTTTGATATATCTCCCAAACATCCTTACATGCAAATATTTCAAATAAATCACATCTCTGTATATTAAACATACATAAGCATTACCTATACATATATTGCGACATAGATACGAGATAGCTACTAGGACTATGTGCTGTACTCTGGCTAACACATCGAATTGGATTTCTGAAAGCGTTCACATCAAAATAACTAAAGCTTGTTGGGGGCTTATACGTGAAATTGTATCGGACCTTTTTCCGATTGGTCTTTAGTGTCAGGATCCGAGATCCATTCAACCGCTACAGCTTTGCACAGCGAGTTTATATCAAGAGTGGAGATTCTTTTCAATCGAGTGCCGTGTCGTAATTGATATGTTTGATTGTGTATCGACGGGAGTGATATAGTGGTGTAGCGCTGATGACGATGTATTGAATTGCTTCATAGGTGGCATTCTGTATGCACACCACGGGTGATGTGTGAATGTGTAGGTTCTAGATGCTTTTATTTATATTTAGCGGTATGTGGTGTTTGCTGCTTATCGCTTCTAAAAGCCCAAATTACTACCGCTACTTAGTAGGCACTTAGTTTATTTAGAGTAACTTCGGGATCTAACATGAATAGGATTAAGGGGTTGCTGAAATTTTCACGCTTGTTGATCTATAATCAATTAGGGCTGCTGCATGACGAGACAATAGGCTATCCTTTGAAATATTGTCTTTTGTTTTTGAAATTTTTGATTTTGATTTATGCTTAGTCCTCCTCTATAAAATCATCTCGTCTTAGTAATGATCAAATATGCATGACTAAAGTAAGAAGGTCTTGGTTGCGGTTTTTATTGGCCTATTGACCGATATGAATACCCAGTTCGCATATTCCCGAGATAAAAATGTTCAGTCTCTCAGAGTCTCTGAAAGCGCGAAAAAAACTGTTTAGCGTCTCTGTACGAGAGACTCGTGTCGCTCATAGAGAGATCCTCATTTCGTGTCCACTTTTTGAACGAGAGACTCGAATCTCTGAACGAGAGACTGGAATTTCTCAATAAGTCGTGTCTCGATAGACATGATTAAAATTTTGTAAGTTCAACATATTTCAGAGATCCCAGTCTTTCTACGAGAGACTCGACTCTCTCAATCTTTCAGTTTCATTTATTCAGTCTCTGCGAGAGATTCGAATCTTCGAATTAACAATTTTATCGTTCGAGTCTCTCATACAGAGATCGTGAAAGATCAATAAAAACACCTAAGCAATAACTTGGAGACTGTGAAAGACTGTGAGAGACGCTCTCAGGGACGCTGAAAGACTGAGAGACTGGAGAGAGACTGAAAATTTTTGTCTAGGGTTGTGAAAGGTAAATGATTGGTTGCCGAGAATATGATCCGTTTTGGCTCAAATGGCGAATATGCATATTCTTCGATAGAATGTGATTATAAAGATTTTTGACGAAAACAGAGAACGCGCCGCACCTAGAAACATTATATGGCTATGGTTAAGATAAGTCTTTCAATTTGTTCCTCTTGATATCATATGAGTAGCCAGTTAAATGTCACTAATGCTAATAATTTAATCAATCTCCTGCCGCCTGGTAGATCATCTTTTGATACAATTTAGAGCATGTTTCTTATATGATATATAGAGAGAATCTGGGTCCATTTCGAGATAGTATAATTTACTTGAAATACTCTAACAGTTCAATTGAAAAGTCCCCGGCCTAAAATAGTAAAACACATTTTTTTTGCAAAATTCGTTTTTTTTATTCAACATAATTCCCTTCAAGGGTGATACACTGATTATAGCGATCCTCCAACTTTTCGATACCATTTTTGTAGTACGATTTGTCCTTTGCTTCAAAATAGGCCTCAGTTTCGGCGATCACCTCTTCATTCGACGAAAATTTTTTCCCAACGAGCATTCTTTTGAGATCTGAGAACAGGAAGTAGTCGCTGGGGGCCAGATCTGGAGAATACGGTGGATGCGGAAGCAATTCGAAGCCCAATTCATGAATTTTTGCCATCGTTTTCACTGACTTGTGAGACGGTGCATTGTCTTGGTGAAGCAGGACTTTCTTTTTCTGCAAATGCGGTCGTTTCTCGGCGATTTCGTCCTTCAAACGGTCCAATAACGCTATGTAATAGTCGCTGTTGATGGTCCTTCCTTTTTCAAGGTAGTCAATGAAAATTATTCCACGCGCATCCCAAAATACAGACGCCATAACCTTGCCAGCCGACTGTTGCGTTTTTGCACGCTTTGGAGCGGGTTCATCGTGTGCAGTCCACTCCGATGACTGTCGATTGGACTTCGGAGTGAAATGATGGAGCCATGTTTCATCCATTGTCACATATCGACGCAAAAACTCGGGTTTATTACGCGTGATCATCTTCAAACACTGCTCTGAATCATCAACTCGTCGTTGTTTTTGGTCAAAAGTGAGCTCGCGCGGCACCCACTTTGCACAGAGCTTTCTCATACCCAAATATTCGTGAATGATGTGATGTATACGTTCCGTTGATATCTGTAGAGTGTCTGCTATTTCATTCAATTTCAATTTACGGTCATTCAAAATCATTTTGTGGATTTTTTTAATGTTTTCGTCCGTAACAGCCTCTTTTGGGCGTCCACTGCGTTCACCGTCTTCGGTGCTCATTTCACCACGTCTAAACTTAGCATACCAATCCTTGATGGTTGATTTTCCTGGGGCAGTGTCCGGAAATTCGTTATCAAGCCAAGTTTTTGCTTCAACTGTATTTTTTCCCTTCAAAAAGCAATATTTTATCAACACGCGAAATTCCTTTTTATCCATTTTTTTCACAATAACAAAAGTTGCTTCACTAAAAATGCTATAATTCACAAACTAATGATCCGACAGCCGTCAAATTTATAGACGCGTCTTTTGAAGGTTAGGACTAACAGAAAATCATATGGATTTAGTTCTGCTGCCGCCATCTATGTGTCAGGCCGGGGACTTTTCAATTGACCGTAGTATATTCCAGAAAAAATAGTGGTAGAAATTGTGGTCGGTCGGGTCATTTCCACTTCTCATTTCCTTTACTCATAAGTTAGTGTGGGACTGTAGCTTCTCCATATTGCTTTTCAGCACTTGCCAATCAACATCAATCACTTTATATTAAAATATTTACAACCCCATTTTGTTTCTGATCTTTTACACATTGTAATAAGAGAAAGAAATGTAATGCATAGTTTCTTTAGGTTTGGGTTTAGCACATCACAATATCTTGTAGTTTTCAGTTTTACACAGCTTCCGAAATGGAATCCCTAGTTTCTGATGCCAAAATAGTTTGTTTATTGTGAAAGATCAGAGCCAAAGTAGGGTTGCAAATAATTTTATTGATGTAAAATCAATATCAAATCGTTTTATATCAAAATATTTAC